AATATTTCCTTTTTTTTTGCAAATTAATGAAATGCATCGATAGAAAAAAAAATCGATAGTCACTTTTTTTCCTTTGACTTTTGATTGTGGCTGTTAATATTTAATTAAATAATATGCAAGAAAACTGAAAAAAATTGATTAATTATCAATTAATTAATTCAAATTCAAAATCAATAATAATCAAGATTGATAAAATTGAAAACAATAGAAACATGTTTATCTTCGTGCGTTTGCTTGCTGTGTATGCATAGATGTCCTTGTGAATTGAATTATTCAGCCAAAAGAAACTTTTGGTAAATTCCCAGATGGAATATCATTATCATTGGTGATGATGATCATCAATTTATCGATGATAATTTATGATGATTTTTCTCTTGTTTTTCGTTTTTCGCTAAATTTTCTCGTAAATTCTATCAATTCACACCATTTTCAATTCATTTGTATAATCAAAGAAAAAAACAATCACAAAAGCCAATCACATTTTTTAAAATGAAAATTCGTGATTATCATTATCATCATCACCAACAAACAAGAAACAATCCATTTTCATTACGAAAAAAAAAATCAAATCAAATTGCATTTGAAATTAAAAATAGATAAGCCATCTCTCAATGATGATGATGATTCAATGGAAATGATTCAATCAAATCTATCTGATTGTTGTTTTTCACCATTTCAAATCCAAAAATTACTTTTATTAAAAAAAAAAATTTGCTTTTCACGTTTCAATTTTTTGCCAATGTTTTTTCCATGATATGCAGATGCTTGTTTGAGTTTTCGTTTGAAAATTAGTTGAATTTTGGCTCGATTTTCAAAACAAGCAAAACGATTTTTGCGCTTACAACTCGATCAATATGTCATTTGATTGAGTGAATGATGATGATCATAATCAAATTCGGCGGTTTTTTTTTAAAAAAAAATTGGTCGATTGAAAATTCGTGTGTCCATTTCATCAGCATTCAGATGATGATCACGATTTACAAATGATGATTTTTTTTTTTTTGCTAAACATGATTTCTCGATGATTATTCAAATCAGCAAAA